CTGGACCAGATCCTTTCCTCACAGCCTCGGAAGGAACAGACCCTGTCAACACCTTGATCTCACACTTCTGGCCTCCAGAACTGTGAATAATAAATACCACCAGAACAACCACTTTCTGTTGTTTAAGCTCCTGGGGCAGCCTCTGTTGCTCCAAATACAGAGACATAGAGACAGGAAGGAGCTCTTCTGGGGTCACACCAAAGGAAAACAGAATTGGGTCTCTACCATGGTTTTTTTCTCTTTGCAGAATAATAATTCTTAAACTATTGATGTCTGCTTACAGAGTTAACATTTATATGCAAATAAATATTTAAAATACTAACTTGGAGCAACTCAAAGTAGCCATGTAATGCCACTCCTTTTAGGTTCTGCTTCCAGTTAAGACATAGATGGAAAGACTACCACTTTTAAAATAAAGGACACCGGATAAACTACAAAACCATATTTTATTTTATCCACTGCGAGAGCTGAGGTCAAAGAAGTGTAGCAGAACCAACTTTCAGAGGCATTGAGCCCTTCCTGAGCAAAGGTCCACAGCCATAGTGGTCCCTGGGGCACAGGTGGAATAAGGAGCTGATTCCATCTAAGCTGTGGAAAAGAGGAAACAGCCACATTTTTAACCATGTAGACTGGAATAATGGATTACACCTGGATTCGAGATGTCTTACATCTACTCCAGACTTTTACCAGGTGTGTGGTGGCAGGCAGGAAGTCAGGACACGGATGGAAACACAGTGGTATCTGCAGTCACATGAGTACCGGCACTTACGCTCGTTATGGAGAGACCTAAGCCTGCTATAAGCCTTCGCGACTAGCAGCAAACCCAACCCAAGCCAGCCCACCTCAAATCCCAATTACACAGAACAGCTGACCTCCTCATCCTGGCTGCCTCACTGCCCCCTAAGAGGAGCCAGCCGAGGATACATGGCTGGCATGCAGAGAAGTGACCCCTGGGCAAGTGTCACCTGACATCCAGCCTCCTGCTGTACTTGTCAGCTCAATGAACTCATGTCAGTGGTGTCTTTAGTGTTTAAGCCAGTTTGATTTTTATCATTTCCAACTGAAGGATTCTTAACCCATTTATGCCTGAGGTTGCAAATGTTTTTGTGTGAAAAATCAGACCTTGGCAATGACCTTGAGCAATGGCATATAAATAACTCCCATAAGCTTAGCATTCCAATAATGGAATACTACGTATAATTAATTGGTACAAAGCACAAGATCTGACCAAATGTGTATTACAAAGTATATACACATGTTATACATGCAAATTCTTGCATAAATTAGCAATACACAATTTCTAAAGAGTATGGTATCCACCAAATAATACTCACTGAAATTATCTTTGTCATGCTATAAATGTACCAGACAATACTAGAAAATAACAGCAATTTTTTAAAACAATAACAGAACTTAACCTATAAAGTAGACATCAGTACTTCACAGAAACCACAGTTGGAGGCATAATCACACTTCAGTGAGCTCACCACTGCTCCACATGTCGTGGGATTCCTATTTTGCAAATGCTAAGGGAAAATTACTCTTCTATTTCAGCACCTACTTCAACCATACACATGTGAAATACACCATGGTGGAGGAGAGGAAGATTCATATTGTTACTTAAGAGCATGAAAATGCTCAGAGGAAAATTTTAAACTGAATCAGAATGGAGAAATTAAAATAAGCGTAGAAGGAAGACGAAAAGGTTTGAAGTCAAAACTACTATTTAAAAATCAAGGAACATTTCAAAATATCCAAGGCACCATTTTAGTTTGCCAAGTTCCAACGTGGAGTGGTATTTTATGGATCAGTTTATCAGGCCCCCAAAATAAGGAGCAATGTCAGAAACAGAATCAGCCTGTTCTCTCACCTGGTGTCCCAAAGATCAGTAGAAATGCAACCTCAGTAGTATCCAAGGGGAAGAAATAGTTGCCAGGTGGCCCTGGCTGTGACAGTCCTTCTAGCCCCCATCCCTGCTCAGACATAAAACCCTACTCAGCACAGCAGCTCAGCAAGGTTCACATTTCAAGTACACTGAGCCCTTCATGGGGGATGTTTCTTAGCCTCCTCCTCACCTCCAAGAGCCAGCAAGCCTACTCCCAGGCCATGTCCAAGGCTATCATAACGCAGGGTCAACAACAGGGCACCATGAAACCTAGGGCTGCCACGTTCAGCCAGAAAGAGCATGTTCCCATGAGAACTCTGGGATTAATCTAATCTTTCTAGGAAAGATTAGGAAACGTCTAGGAAACTTCAAGAATGTACTTTGCAGATGTCCCAGTCAATTAATTTTCCCGATTTCTAAACTCCTGATGTTTCAAAGCTTAATCCAAACTAGATAGGTCCTAACTGACTGCTCATTAGCTAAGCCTATTAAAACGCCCGTTGTCATTCTCAGGATAGCCAGAACATTTACTGAGTAGTTCACACAATGCAAGCAGGACCAGAAGCAAAATATGTAACCCTCCTCTATGCCTGTGTTCCTGATCTGTACAGGGCTTGAGTCTGCCATAATCTTAAATACGCACACTGCTCCTGCAGAAAAATGCAAGCCAATGCAAGGTTTGAGAGCAGGGAAGGAGAGATTATATTTTTAAGCAAGTTCAGAAATTTCTCCCTACCCTCTTGCACGGCTGCTCTTGTTTTAACTTTTTCCATCACATTTACCCCACCCTGGTTTTGTTAATTTTATTTCCTCATTAAAGGCTAGACAGTCTATCAAAAGAATGACTCAAAACTCATCTAAGGGACAAAAATGCAAACACAAGCACCATTTATCATTTTGTCAGCGATCCTCAGTAACACGCCACTAAAGAGGATGGAAGCCGGTCATTAGACAAACATCCCATTATCTCATCTACAAGCACGCTGGGTTCTGACCACGGACTAGCGTCTGATGAACGGTGGCGTGAGCAGAGGGAATGGCAAGAATAAGATACATTTGTCCTTTGTTTCACTGCACGGCCCTGCTTGAAAGTGCTCACCGGGGAAAATCCACGCCCCCATGGCCCACAGGTGCTATTCCTCAGGCTTAACAGCCGTTAGTGATGTGGTTTTCAATACCAGCTGAACATCAGAACCACCTGGGAGCCCTTACATTGCCAGATGGCTCCAGGGCATCTAATTAAAGCAGCTCTCCGTGGGTGAGACCCGGGCATGAGTAGTCGTTAAACCTCCCACCAGGTGATGCCAAGGTACAGCCAGGGCTGAGGACCACTGCCGTAGAGAAATCCCTCTGAGCCAGTACATTCCGGTGAGCTGCAGAAACTGAAGGTTTAGAAAGACTAACAGTTACAAACTTTAAAAGGAGATAAAGCCTCCCCCTTAAAAAAAAAAAAAAAAAAAAAAAAAAAGGTCCATCAAGGCAGACATAGGTAGGGTCAGGGACTCAGGTTGAAAATAGCACACTGGGGGCCGGGCATGGTGGCTCATGCCTATAATCCCATGACTTTGGCAGGCCAGGGTAGGAGGATCACTTGAGCCCAGGAGTTCCAGACCAGCCTGGGCAACATGGCGAAACCCCATCTCCACAAGAAACAAAAATTAGCTAGATGTAGTGGTGCATACCTGTGGTCCCAGCTACTCAGGAGGCTGAGTTGGAAGGATCACTTAAGCCCAGCAGGTCAAGGCTGCGGTAAGCCACGATCACACCACTGCACTCCAGCCTGAGTGACAGAGTGAGACCCTGTCTCCGAAAAAAAACACACACACACAAAAACCACACTGACATCAAGCCCACAACCAACCATCAGACTTAAAGACTCTGCTTCCTATCAAAGGGAATTTTTAGGTACTAGTAATTTTATGATGTCTTCCTCACTTTTGTAAGGATGAAGAACAGAAGAACCCTAATGTCTCCATCTGGGACTGAAAGCTCTCCTGAAGTGAGCTCTATCCAGCACAATCACCTCTAATACCCACCCAGACAAGGCTAAAGAGAAAGGCAACTTACTTCCATCAAGTCCACACACAGCAACTGGGCTGAACTGCAAGACTTGTTTACAAATAAAAAGGTAATTCCAAAGTGGTCACATAATCAACTTAGTTCCAATGTCACCAGATACTAAACCAAGACACATGAATTTTCATGCAAAGATAAGTCTTTAAGCTTCAGAAGCACAACCCCCAAAGGTCAGCAGTGGGGTCCCACGATCTCCTGGGAGGAAAGGCCATCTGTGATCCAGTTTCACCTGGGGACATTTGCAGCCCCATGAAATGTTCAACCTGTGACAGATCATCCACATCAGGGTTGCTCAAAGAGAGAGTGTAAGAGCCCTAGGTCTCCCCCGACACTGCGTACTAAAATCACTTTTAAAAACACTGGCACCCAAATCACACCCCAGACTAAAAAAGATCAGGACTCTGGGGGACAGGCCCAGCGTGCATGGCATTTTGAAAAGCGGTGGTCCTCACACTTTAGCATGCATCTCAATCTCCCAGAGGGCCGGTGAAGCTACAGATGACTGGACCCTCCCCCAGGGTTTCCGGTTCACAGGTCTGGCCTGAGAATGTGCATTTCTAACACGTTCCCAGATGATGATGCTGGCCCAGAGGCCACAGTGCGAGAATCGCCGCTTCAGAGGCGTCCCAGGTGGCTTTAATTAGCACAGCCGGAACTCAGCAGTGCTGTATTATCAGAGTGAGCTCCTGGCCAGGGCACGAGGAGGAAGGAATTCTTATCTAAACTCAGCTACAAACCTGGCGTTTGATCAATAAGCCCTCAAAATTTTTGGACCTCAAGTTGCTCTTGATATATAAAATTGACATACTGCATGAAAGAGAACCTGGGTTCCTTGCAGAAGTAAAACAATGACTTTTCCAAAGGGCTGCTGACACTAAGACACATAGAAAGGAAAGGAAGTGGTCTCAGGGCAATAAAACAGCTTTTGAAATAGAGGGGAGGGTAGGTTTCCGCTTACCTGGCTTCAGTGCACTGGGAGATACACAGGGTGCAGGCCGTGCATATGCTCTAAACCAGTCATGCTGCTGTGTGGACTCACCTGTTAGAACCGTGCAGAGCTGCCCAGGTCTCTGGGCCTCGGCAGAAGGGCTGGGGGTCAAGGACCATTTGCGCCTGATCAGATGCTCCCGTCCGCTGAATGGAGCCTGGGAGTTGTTGAGGGGCTGGATTAGCACCTGCTCCTGCCCAAGTTGAATGAGGCCAACCTGCCCAGAAAAGAGAAGGAAATGCGATGTCGGTCATCCTCATTCACACCCGCCCATCGTCCCCCGGGAGGGCACGCAAGGCCACCTTGCTGGGATTTCGTTTCCCATGTCTGGGCTCTTTCCTTTGCTAATTGGTCCGATTTACCTGAGCCCAAGAGTGAGCTTCTGTGTGACTTAAAAACATAACACAGAGCAGCTGTTTTGGGGTGGGGTACAGATACAGGTTCAACAGCATCCGTTTTCCACACTGGCTTTCAGAGAAGATAAATTACTATCAAATCTTTTTAATTTTAAAATTATTTTTTAAATTACTTTAAAGATCATCCCCACAAAAGTCCACTTGGGAGGCAACACTGAAACTGCTGGGAATGACATTTACATCCCTCATGGAAAAATGTATCTTATCCCTGGATGTATTAACAGTAACAATATTGTTTTGACATCATCAAAACAAAACAATCTGCCCTCCTTCCCCAGGCGCCTGCTGCTACTTTCCCTTCATATGTGGAGTCAAATGGTAAATCTCTCAAGAAAATCGAACCCAGTCAGGGCCAGGGGAGGACGTGGTTTGCACACCGATCAATGCAGGCAACATCCCGTTCTCCTGGGAACCATCCTGGACTGCCTGTGATAGCAAATACAGGAGATCTGGCGGATGAGTCTTACGGGGTCATGACATCCTTTCTTGTCTCCCTCTTCCACCATCACTTTTTAAACGCCGTGACAGGCCAGGCATGGTGGCTCACGCCTGTAATCCCAGCACTTTGGGAGGTCAAAGTGGGTAGATCACGAGGTCAGGGGTTCAAGATCAGCCTGGCCAAGATGGTGAAACCCCATCTCTACTAAAACTACAAAAAATTAGAAAGGCGCAGAGGCAGGTGCCTGTACTCCCAGCTTGGGAGGCTGAGGCAAGAGCATCGCTTGAACCCAGGCAGCAGAGGTTGCAGTGTGCCGAGATCATGCCACCGTACCTGATCAGCTGGGCAACGGAGTGACACTGTCTCAAAAAAAAAAAAATGTTAGCCAGGCATGGTGGTGCATGCC